AAAAAAAAAAAAAAAAAGAATAATTGAACACTGTCTGAATCCTTTTAGTTGATCAGAATTGCCACACAAATGCAGGTGTATTTTCTGACATCCAGAGGTTGGTAAATACATGCTCAATCAGGCTTCCACATGCAAGTATGTGGTAGTCCAATCAAATACGCCACTAGAATAACTAGTTCTACTTTTTAAGTGTTCAATGAGTCTAGTTTCCAGGGGGCAACTAGAATAAAGGTACCTAAGATTTTGTTTCTACTCTATTAGTGTTGTCTCTATCTAAACTATTAATGATAGAAACTAAACTATACTAGGTTTAAACAGAAGTGCATCTGCTTCTTAGTTTATTGAGATTAGTATTTTCACACTCTATGTCATGTATCACATGCAAATATCAAGATACATCAATGTAAGTCATCAGACATTTGAAGAACCACAAGCTCTCATTGTGATTAAACACTGCCAAGTCACTTTCCCAACTTATCAACTTAGAGTGCCACATTTTGTTGCTTTCCTGCATACTGGAAGAAAATTCGCTGACTCACAAATGCTGCTTAAGATCAAGTAATTAATATTCATATTTTCTTATTTAATTTTAAAAAATCTCAATCTCACATGACAGTAATGGTAGTAATAATAATCACAATTGTTAATATATCATAACATTTTAAAATGCTTTCTACATGCTAAAACTGTTCAAAGCACTTTGCACGTATAATATCATCTGACCTTCAATTGAACTCTGTGAGGAGTATACTATTATAATCCTCATTTATACAAGAGAAAACTGAAGCTCATAGAATTTATTTTTAACCTTGCGTAGAGACCCCATAGAAAACTGTGTATCTGAAATTCAAAGCCAACAGGTAGTTGGGTGCCAGGACCCACAATATCCTATGTTATACTGTCTCTATGAAGTAGTTTCCAAATTTGATTTTGGGCAAATACAGAACTGCTTTTGGGGAAGCTGTAGAGTGTGTGTGTGTGTGTGTGTGTGTGTGTGTGTGTGTGTGTGTGTTGGGAAGGCTGTGACTACTACCTCCTCCTTGAGGCATTCCCTTTCAAAAACAGTTTGAAAATCTCTAGTCTAGCTTATCTGAACTTGTCCAGGAAGTTTCTGTTGCTAATGCTGTTTTCACAACTTCAGAGTTTTCTGATCTTCACCAAAAATCATGAAGGTAAAACCTAAAAAAATGCTATTCGCAGATATCTGTACTCCTAGAGACACTATGAAGACACAGTACTTAACTAACTTGTTTTTGGGAATGACGAGAACTTCTCAGCTGTGCAAAGTCAGAAGATATCATTCTACTGTGTTCTTCATGCAGCTTGGTGACCACTGATATCCAACCCATAATGAGGTGGAGAATCCAATTTTAAAGGCAGATGCCAAGGTGGAAAACAAGTGGAATCCTGACCAGACTAAAGGTTCAGAAAATAGTATGGTTTTTGAAACCCTCAGGTGTTCCTGGGCCTACTATATAGTCACACCTAGATTTTTGAGCTGATCTATTAATTTCATCTTTGAACCCTCAAGTCAGCTGGATGGGCTTCATAACCATATTACAGTTTCAACATATAGACCAAATTGATGAAATCTAAAATATTGCTGCAGAGAACACTGTCATATTAGATTATGCTGGTGTCAAGAACTGAGGACATCCAAACAGGGTTCTGAGTAGAAATCTCCATTTTCTAAGCAGTGAGGGTCCAGTGTTCCTGGGAAGTTTATCTAAACTGGGCAAGCACATTAGCATCTCTTTGAGCACAATTGTATTGAAATGTAAGAAACTAGAAGATGAACATTGGAAATCATAAAGTCCAAGTTTTAGATTTAGATCGGTGACCTCATTCAAATAGATTAACTTCTGGCTTCAGTTTCTTTATTTGAAAATTAACAATAGGTGTCAAAGATATCTGAAATAAGTATGAGCTATAATATTAAGCAACAGAACAGCCTGACAGTTTTGTTTTAGTAATAATCTCATATAAAAAGTTACTTTCTTCTTTGCAGCAAATAGAATTCCTTATAGCAAATTAGGCACTTAGGGAAACAGTTAATTCCTCCAGACCATTAGGCTCATTCGTAGCTTTGCCTGGAGTAAAGAAAGGGTATGAGAGAAACAATGAAAGATTATTCATCAAATTTATTACCCTTGACTATGCCCTGAGGACTAGACATTAATTAGATTACTAATAAGTTTTATTAGAGACTTATATGCTGATAATGTCCTACTTTATTATTTGCAAAATGGAAGCTTTCTGAGGATAGGTTTTACTCTGGCTTACCCAAAGGAATGCAACAGCATCAATTAAAGTTAGTTATTACACTGCATTATAGTAAATGGTGAAAGAGAATTAAGAAAAAGCCTTTTAGAAATAGTTAACCTAAATACGAGTTTTGCATTTTATTTTTAAAGGTTTTTGGAATTGAGTAGTGAAATAACATCAAATCATTTAAATAAGGAAATACATGCTCCTTTCTTAATTTGCAGTTGTGCTGAATGTTTCTATGACTCATTGTTATTCACTTTAGTGACATTCACAGGAAGGAAATCTCCCTAACTAGATCCCACAGAAGCATTTTTCTCTTGAGCACTGTCATTTGACCTCCCTGGAAACCAAGAGGATATTTGCCAAGTATATGCACTTGGCATTTTAAGAATTTATTTAGTAGAAAAACTTGGTAGGTTTCAGAAATGCAATATCTTAAGTCAAATTCTGACTGTGACATTGACACTCTTGATACCTACAAATGACCGTAATATCATTTCAAATCCAAGAATAACAAAGACAAGTCATGGAATAAAGCACGCTGCAACTCACATTTCACACATGAACACAATTGCATTCTCACAAAAGAGGCTCTTTTCCCTTTTATATTTCCATGTTGTCTGGGTTACAATTCACTGTCCTTAAAATATAAGTTCAGACAGACACCCCTGTGTGTTTTGAAATGCATAGGGGCATGATAAACTGCACATTTCTAGTCATCATACTCAGAGATGCTGATTCAGCTGTTCTTTGATAAGATTGAGGGGTCTAAATTTTTCTTATGCACCCTGCGTGATTCTGATTCAAGGAGGTCCAAGGACCACCTCTTGAGAAAAACAGTTTTATTTGATAAATCCAGAAGGAGCTAGAGCAGGTGTGATCCTGTTTAAATACGAAAAGTTAAAAATCCAGGTTCTGGTTAACATCTCTCAGAAACCATTAGGCTAGTCCCAATGGATAAAGCTTGAAACTCTCATGTGAGCAAAAGGCACTGCATGCTAACTTTTTTCAATTATAAATAAAAATCAGCTGGGTGTTGAATAATTTATGACTTCTTGCAAAGCTGAATTTGAAAACATCAAGCCTCTGCCATTCCAGCCCACACGTGGACAGCTGCCATGCACGCATATTCGTTACTTTTTTGGAGATTATCTCCACATGCTGTATTATGTGGCTTTCCACATTAGCAAGTAACGTGAGACACAATCAATATCACAGAGGCCACAACACAATTAAAGACAAAGATGAGGCATCCATAGCTTGCTGGTACAGAAACCTGAAGGGAATAAGATATTGTCTGTCCTGTACTTATGGAAGCCTATTTTGGCCAGAAATAAAGATAAATCTGATAGTTATTGACTTACTAGAGGTCCTTCAGAAATACTCAACTTTCCAATTAAGATTGTAATCGATAATGAAACTTAAGAAATCAAATTCATAAAAATGGTTATATTTTACAAGTCAGCTGGATGAGAATGTTGAAAGTATAAGATTCCCTTGAGAGGAATTTAATTACCTTACAAGGAGACAGTGTATGAGCATTTCTTACACTGGGACTCTACATATCAGGTTTTGAATTTTCAATGTATTTCCATTGAGCAAAATAAAAAATATTCATTTGGTAAGAATTTTTATCCCAAATTTCATATGCCTCCTTTCCCCAAATGATCCAACTGAACAGATGCTAAATTTATGCAGTATTAGACCAAAACCGAAACCAAAAAAAAAAAATCTTCAAAGTGATATCTGATAGCCCAAATCTGAGTAATATTTTTGCTAATGATAAGTCTTTTTCATTGATGAATTTTTTTCACCCATTAATTTCTTATTCCCTTCAGGTTTTACTAATGTGGATTGTAACATTTCATACTGCATTCCTTAAAAGAAACCCTACACGCACCTCCTGTGTGTTCTGGTTCCCAGGTGCCTTCACCAGGTGGGGGCTGCTGTAATGAGAAAACTCTGCTCTCTGGTGGCCTCAAGGTAGACACTAGTCTGTGGAATTTGTGAATTCTGTCTCTGACAAGAATAGCATCACCCCTCTCATGTTCTGCACCCTCTCTGGCATCAGACCGACCAAGATCCTTTTTTTGGACTACATTTGCAATCTCAGCTACCAGGTCTGACTCTGATTCTGCCTTTTCTGTAGGATTATATTTGTGCACATGAACAACATCTTCCCTTTCTCCTAGCAGCTTGGAAAGTAGTGAATAGAAATCACCTGTGGAAAAAAGAGAAGAGATAAGGGCGTGGAGCGTAGATAAGATTGCAAAATTTACAAAGTTTGGTGCTTTAAAAAATATCTACTTGTTTCTCATAATAAATACGAGAGAAGTTTGCACTCAGACTTTCAAACACACGGAGAAAAAAAGAGAAAAACTCCTAGACCACTGAAATACTTTATTTCATATATCATCTATGTCTTTCTGTTATAACATCTATTGACATGTTAGTAGAAAAAATAATGCTTATGTAATTGCATGGCACATTTCAATAAATGGTTTTCACACTATAGTTTAATTGATATGGAAATTAAGAGCTCATCAGATTTCTAAAATAAAATATCATCAGTCACTACATT